GTAGTATAGTACAAGAATTGTATAAATAAACCGAAGGATGAAATTAAGACACATGCACAACGCCCGGGCATCCCATCGTAGACGTTTCGCCATCCAGCCAGCCACTGGATGGTGAAACGTCCACAACAAAGACAACCAGAAAGCCGCACATGTGTCTTAATTTCAACAGTAGTTGTAGTAAAAAGAAGAGGAGGTAGTAGTAAATGGTAGCGGAAAAAAGTGGGAAATAAGGAAGAAAAAAGCCCGTCAAATACAAAGGAAGGGGAGCACTGCAAGAGAGCTAGATACCCACAGAGGGAGAGCAAGCGCCCAGAGGTGCGTGAAAGGGAAGTCGTGAAATAAAATAAATGAAGAAGGAACAGAAACAACGAGACAGGAGAGAGAAAGACAACCCAGGGAGAAAAGGAGAAGGAAAAGGGGGAAAAGGGGGAAAAAGAAAAAGAAAAAGAAAAAGTGAGGATTCAGGTTTAAGTCAAAGGTGTTCTGAGTTTGAGCATTTTACAATGTAGTGGGAGAGGAAGTCATCTACGAGACAAACCCAGGGCTAAGGTTCTTTGTATTTGATGGGTCATTTTCCCTTTTTTTTCCCCCCTTTTTTCCGCTCCCACTATACTACCTCTTCTTCTTCTACAACTTACAAACTGTTAAAAATTAAGACACATGTGGGGCTTTCCGGGTTTGGGCCCTTTTTTGGGTGGACAAATTTCCCCATCCGGGGTTTGCTGGAGGGGAAAACGTCTACGAGGGGGATGCCCGGGCGTTGTGCATGTGTCTTAAAATTTCTTTCTGTCGGTTTATAAAAATTTCCCTTGTACTATTTTAACAAAATGCTACTCTACTACTACTACCACCTCTTCCTGCATATTTATAGCCGCCCTTGCTCCCCCTCTGTTAGTGTGACTTTGTCAGGGCCCAAGTCGGACCGAAACCCCGTGTAAGTTTCTCTCTTTTATGTTGGGGGTTTAAATTTGTTTTTAAAGTATATAGTACCAACACTCTTTTTATGGATGTGAAGTTTTGGGGGGAAAATTTAAACCCAGAAAGGGGAACATTTTAAAGGCAGTGGAGATTTCAGGGCTAAGGGCAATGTGTGGTGTAAATTTTAAAAGCAAAAATTTCGAAGTGTGGAAATTAGGAAAAGGGTTTGGTGTTAAAAAAAAGAAATTAGTAAAGGGCAGAAAGGGGTTGTTGGGGTTGGTTTGGTCATTTAGAGAGAATGGTTTAAAAAGTAAAATGCGGGGAAAGCATAAAATTTTGGGGAAGGAAGGCGTGGTAGGGGTCTTTCCTCAAAAGGGGTTGGGGGGAAAAGGGGAAAAGGGAGGTTTTAGGGCGAGGGGCTTTGGGTTTAAAGCAACTTTGAAAGAGCGTTTTTAGGAGTAAATGGAGGGTGAATGGAAATTGGGACCTGATATTGTTGGAGTGTGAGCAGGGTAATATTTAGTGAAGGGATTCGGGGAAAACCGGGTTATTTTCAATAGTGGGAAATTGAGTCCTGGAAAGGGAAGGGGGGGTTTTTGGGATATTAGCCGTTTGGAGGGATATGTTGGGGTATTTTTAAATATGTGTATGCTTCAAAACTGTTGTTTCTAAAGCCCCCTTTGAAAAAAAATTGAAAATTTAACGATGTGGTGAAAGTGCTGAATGATGTTTAAAAGTATTTTCTTTTGGGGGGGGTTTTCTTTTTTTTTTTTGGGCCCAACCTGCCTCGGTGGGGACGGGCCAAACTTGTTAAAAAAAAAAATTAATAAACATTTTTAATAATAACATATGGGGGGGCTATAATTTTTTTATCCTTTTAAAAATTTAAAAAATTTTAAAGAAGAAGAAAAACTTTATGAAAATGTTTTTTCTTTTTTGGGTCCCCCCTCCCCTTGGTGAGAGCAGGGGTGTGTTAAAAACAATAAAATTTAAAGATGATGAATTTTAATAATTAAAAATTAAAAATAATCAGTAATTCCCCCTTTTTTAATTAAAGGGGGAAAAAATGGGTCATTGGAGGGACCTTTTAAAAAGGGAAAAATTGTCACAAAAATTCACTCGAATAATTTTTAGCCCAGGAAGGGAAAAAAGGAAGTGGTGATAAAAATTTCAGAAGTGTTTTTAAATCCCCTATCAGTGGACCAAGTTTTCTACTCTTTTTTTATTTATGTACTTTAACTGAGAAAAAGTGTTGAAAATAAAAGGGGGCAAAAGTTCTCGGCTAATATTCATAAATTTTCTTGAAGCTTGGCTCTTTCTAAGGGGGTAGCACCTTCACACACAAGTAAGGGGCCCAGGGTTGAAACCGGGGGGAGAAGACACTGGGTAGGTTTTTTTACACCTGTTGCCCCTGTTGTTGCAATAAGTGGGCACTGGGGTTAGCCAATGTTGTATTTTGATCCAAGGGAAGAAAAAAAAAAAGAACCCAAAACTGAAATAAGCAGAATGTTTGGATTTTTGGGTTATCTTGGATTATAACTTTTCAGGTTAATATTCTATAAAAGAACTAAGAAAAAAAGGGAACACTGCAGCGGCCCTACGGGCCCCAGCTGGCGGTTTTCAACTCGCCCCCCCACCATCATTTTAGCTGTCAACCTTCATAACATTACAGTAAACCTCCGGAAAACGGCTAACTGGAGGAATTGTCCCTAAAAAAAAGCAAAAAAAATTATTTATGTGAAAAAGTGGGCTTTTTTAAATTATTGCATTTACAAGATCAAAATAAAAAGCAAACTTTTTTAAATTTAAGGTACACCCCTTTATCCGAAACCCTTGGGGCCAGTAGTGTTTAAAAATTTCAGTTTTTTTCGAATTTCAGAATACGGGTCTTTCCACCATTGGTGGGTGCCCAGCATGAGTGACTGATGCCCCATTCCCCCGAAAAAACTTTGGTTTTCGAACTTTTAAATTTTCAGAATTTGGAAAAAGGGTGTAGACCTGTATAAAAATTTTCAATGAATGCCCGTCAGTTTTTTAAAAATGCTTTTTACAAACAAAACCCATGTGCCATACCTTTAAGGAGAAAAATGAGTATGGGGACATCAGGTGCTGTTTTTTTAAAAAACTATCTAATTTTTCCCTGAGTAAGTCAAAAGAACCCCATTTCTTTGGGTTCGTTCCCAAATGTACTGGCCTTAAAAGCTTCTCATTACGCGGAAAAACCACAAGACATTTTACACAAATGGTTAGGCCTTTTTGGGCTATCGCAAAAACCCCAATCAACACATAATAATTTTGTTAATAATTCTTAAGCAGGAGTTAATTTTTAGCTTAAAAATCAGAAAAGTTAAGCCCCATACAAAAATTTTCCCAAAGGAAAAAATTTTTTTGTCAACTGTTTTCATTGTAGGCCCCTGCACAAATAATTATCATTTTAAAATTGCTTTCCCATCCCCTGAGGAAAAAGTAAATTTCCAGTAACTAACTTTCCCCCCCCAAAAAAAAGACTGGTAAAAAAAAGTTTCCCCTCTTCAGGAAAAACAGTTTTGTAAAAAGTTCTCATTCCCCAAAGGGAAAAAAGTTACTATTGGTAAAAAAACTTACCAAAGGGAAAAAAAATTTTGTAACTAAAAATTTTTCCCTTCCCGAAGAACAAAGTTTCTGCTAATAAAGTTTCTCCCCTTCCCGAAGAACAACGTTTCTGCTAACTAAAGTTTCTCCCTTCCTGAAGAACAACAGTTACTGCTAACTAAAGTCTCTCTCCTCACCAAGGAAAACAAAACAATTACTGCTAACTATATTTTTCTCTTCACCAAGGAAAATAGTTACAGGAAATTAAACTTAGGAACAGTTTTTATAGGACAATTTTACATTTTGCACCAAACCTAAACTGACAACCTAGCTCAAATCTCAAAACCTCCTTTACCCCCTCTCTCTAACCCTTCCAGGAATGATCAATATCCTATTCTGACCTATTCTCTCTAAATGCCCAAATCATCTCAACAACCCTTTCTCTACCCTTTCTGGCAGCCACCTATCATCTTCTAATCTCCACGCTTTAATTCTCTGCATAATATTTACACTATATGTTGTCCTCAAATACAACATCACTGCCTATAGCCATCTCCTCGTTGCAATGTATAAAACCCATGCTTAACATCCATATAACAGTGTTGGTACCACTCTACTCTAATGCATTCCCATTTATTGCCTTCACGTATAAAGTTCTTTATCTTCAATGATGCCTTAATGCACTACCCACTTTTTTTCTTCCTCTATGGCTCACCTTGTCTTTGAGAAACCCGTCTACTGACAAATCTGCTCCTAAATACCTAAATACATTTACTTCTTCCATACTCCCTCCGAATCTGATATTCAATCCTTCACTGCTTAGATTTTGTTACTTTCTTCACCTTGCTCTTTCCATGTTCACTTTTTATTTCCATTTTTTTACACACCCTCCCAAATTCTTCCACCAATCTAGGCAACTTCTCTGTAGAATCACCTAAGAGAAGTGTATCATCAGCAGAGCAAATGTGACGGCAATGATGACAACAACAGCAAAATAATAGTAAGTATAAACAGATAGGTAGTAGGTTGGTAAACAGCAACCGCCCAGGGAGGTACTACCGTCCTGCCAAGTGAGTGTAAAATGAAAGCCTGTAATTGTTTTACATGATGGTAGGATTGCTGGTGTCCTTTTTCTGTCTCATGAACATGCAAGATTTCAGGTACGTCTTGCTACTTCTACTTACACTTAGCTCACACTACACATACATGTACAAGCATATATATACACACCCCTCTGGGTTTCTTCTATTTTCTTTCTAGTTCTTGTTCTTCTTCCTCTGTAAGCGATGCGTGTTGTAAGAAGTGACTAAAATGCTGGGAGCAAGGGGCTAGTAACCCCTTCTCCTGTACAAATTACTAAATTTGAAAGGAGAAACTTTCATTTTTCTTTTTGGGCCACCCTGCCTCGGTGGGATATGGCCAGTTTGTTGAAAGAAAGAAGCACAAACAGCATTCAAATCATGTACTGTACAAAGATTTTCTAAATATAATCTTGAGTACAATAATACAAGAAAGTTGTACATTATTTTCTCACCTTAAGGAGTGAGTTATTAAGTCGTTCTACCCAGTCTCTTCCTGGGAAGGAGCCCAAAGCTGGCCGGTTAATAAACAATTTCTGGAAGAAAAATCATAATGCATAACTAAGAAAATGACTGGTAATATCTGAGGAATACAGCAATCCTTCACTTCTGTAGGTTTACTATACACAAATTCGCTTTCATGCAATAATCCCATTTCTACAAGTCCCTATGCGACATAAATTTGCAAAGCAGAAGTTGTGGAATTCCTAAAATTTGAGGATGATGCCATCAACAATCTTACTGCTTCAAGGGACAAGGTGCAGTATAGTATGGCCCCAACTTATGATGTTAATGTATTCCAGAAAATTCATCGAAAGTCAACTGTTTGACAATTGGAACATGTTTTCCCATAAGAAAAAATGTAAAATGGATTAATGTGTCCCAAATAATATTCCATATATAATTTCAGTAAATTTTTCAAAAGAATGTTTATCTGATATTTTCCATTCAGTAATGTTCCCTGTCACTGACACATACCGTAGTATTAAACATTATTTAATGGGCAGGGGGTGAAAGAGAGGGTGGGTGTATGTATGTGAGGGTGGGTATGAGAGGTGTTGGGTGGATGTGTGAGAGAGAGGTTGGGTGGGTGTGAGAGAGAGGGGTTGGGTGGGTGGATGAGACAGGGTATGTAATGTGTGAAGTGAAGGTAGTGGTGTAAGTTACTATGTGTGGACCTGCACCTCACTCCTACTGAATACTTCCATAATGCAGCTACCAGTGATGGGCAGGGGCATCCCTCCTGGGCCCCAGCCAACTCACTTATCTCCCTGTCTTACCAAACACCTCAAAACATAACATAAATAATAACTATACAGTTTTTGACCAATCTTTCCCAAAACAAATACGAGTCCTCTAATTTTGTTTTCAACTCAACAGCCATCTCCCACCAAGGCAGGGTGACCCAAAGAAGAAATCACATTTACGAACATTCACTTCTGTCTTTCCAGAAGTGTGCTGATATCACAATCAGATTACCCCTCTGACTAGAACATTCCTTCCTCTGCTTCAGAGTGCAGGCACTACTACCCTTCCTGCCTCCAGAACACAAGCCCAGTTAACTGGTATCCTTGAATCCCTTCGTAAAAGGAACCTTGCTCACACTCCAACAGAACATTCATTGAAAATCACTTGTCTCCATTCACTCCTATGGGATGCTTGTGACACAAACTTAAAGCCTCTTGTACCTCCTCCCACCAAGCATCCCTGGGATGACCCCCTTTTTCCTTCTACCCTTCACCCCAGGTTTACACACCCTCTTTATTCTCTATACAGGGGTGTCCCATAGCTTGGTTGCTAGCACACTCAGCTCACACACTGAGGTTCATGGTTCAATCCCAGGTACAGATGGAAATATTAGGGCATGTTTCCGTGAGACACCTGCTGTTCCTGTTCACCTAGTAGTAAATAGGTACCTGGGTGTTAGCTAACTGGTGTGGGATGCATCCTGGAGACAAAATTAACCAGAAATGCTCTGTATAACAAGGGTCTTTCTATATAGTATGTCATCAATGTCAGCTAAATCTGTACACATTGTACATGTACCTGTAGAAATAAAAATTGTTATTATTATTATTATTTTATATACATAAAATGAGCATACACGAAGTATGAATGTACAGTACACTATTTCATAAAAAAACTAACAGAAAATTATATTTATAATTCTTCCTTAAAAGATAATAAAACATAGTTTTCCTGATGTCAGAAGGAGATCATTGCTCATAAGTAATTAACTGGTTCCAAAGTGCCAATGTCATAGGTAAGAAACTTCAAGAGATTTCCCAAACTGTCCATAACAGTGCAAGGTTTTTATGTATTTTAGATTTCCTTAAAAAATTATTATGAAAATCATGAGTAAACCAGACATTACTTTTTATTTTGCTTTGTAGGTCCACCAATGTTATTATTTCTATTTCAGAATAAAATAAAAATTTCCTGGATATAGATGTTTCCTCTGATTTGTTTCACACTATTTTACACATAAAATGGTCAAAACTGCACCTACAAACTTGCATTACACTCTCCACCATTGCTGACTCAGGAGATACTTTTTTTTTTTAATATCTGAAGTGTATGCTGCCGAGTGTTTTAGAAGTTACTGGAACCATTCCAGAATGACAGGAATGGGTTTAATAACTAAAGTCACAGAGCACCTGCACAGGCCAATTGTTCCAAGAATCTGCTCCTCATTACTGTACACCAGCAGTGAAAATTTGAAGCTGGTCAGATGAGGTGTTTTCAAGTTATGAGTGAAAGAAAAACAAAAAGTTGGAAGAAAAAATAAAGAAAATATTCTGGCAACCACCTAAAGGTTCCCTTTTGGGATACAAAAAATTCTGGCAGAATAGATACCTGTCAATACATTATACAGTGGACCCTCGACCAGCGATGGCATCGATTAACGATAAATCTGACTAGCGATACATTTTATCGCAAAAATTTTGCCTCGATTAGCGCTAAAAAACTCGACCAACACTATTCCTTCCATCTGAGACGTGTCCACTTCTGGCCAGTGTTTACAAGCCAGCCAGCCACCGCGGTCGCTTCCAAGCATACAATCGGAACATTTCATATTATCACAGCCTTTTTAGTGATTGCACCTGCAAAATAAGTCACCATGGGCCCCAAGAAAGCTTCTAGTGCCAACCCTACAGCAAAAAGGGTGAGAATTACTATGGATATGAAGAAAGAGATCATTGCTAAGTATGAAAGTGGAGTGCATGTCTCCGAGCTGGCCAGGCTGTACACAAAACCCCAATCAACCATCGCTATTATTGTGGCCAAGAAAACGGCAATCAAGGAAGCTGTTCTTGCCAAAGGTGCAACTATGTTTTCGAAACTGAGATCGCAAGTGATAGAAGATGTTGAGAGACTGTTATTGGTATGGATAAATGAAAAACAGATAGTAGGAGATAGCATCTCTCAAGCGATCATATGTGAAAAGGCTAGGAAGTTGCATGACGATTTAATTAGAAAAATGCCAGCAACTAGTGGTGATGCGAGTGAATTTAAGGCCAGCAAAGGTTGGTTTGAGAGATTTAAGAATCGTAAGTGGCTTCATAGTGTGATAAGGCATGGTGAGGCTGCAGTTTGGACCAAAAGCAGCTGAAAAATATGTGCAGGAATTCAAGGGTACATAGACAGTGAAGGACTGAAACCTGAACAAGTGTTTAATGGTGACACTGACAATGTTGTGAAACAGTTAGGATTGTTATAAAGGGAACGGGAGGTACAGGCCTCTATGGGCAGATATGTTGTGCAACAGAGGTCCAGTGACTCTCAAGCTGGTCCTAGTGGCATTAAAAGAAGGGAAGAAACCCCCGAAAAAGGACTTGCCACCTCAAGTCCTAATGGAAGGGGATTCCCCTTCTAAACACTAAGATCATCAACACACTCCCCTCTTCCCACCCCATCAATCATCCCAGATCTTCAAAAAAGGTTTAAGTGTCATGTAACTGTGCATGTCTTCTTCATTTTGGGTGTGTATTAAAATTAATATTTCATGTGTTAAAATTTTTTTTTTTTTCAATCCCTTTTTGGGTGTCTTGCACGGATTAATTTGATTTCCATTATTTCTTAGGGGGAAAAATTTTAACTTGACTACGATTATTTTGACTAACGATGAGCTCTCAGGAACGGATTAATAGCGTTAGTCGAGGGTCCACTTTTACTATATTAAATATATACTGGTACATTTATTTGTAATACTGTAGCTAAACATGTGCTTAAATAGCTAAACTTACAGAGGGAACAAACAATTCAGAGTTCCAGTAACCACACTGTGATTTTTTTCTTAGTCAATAGAAGATCCTTTGGCTTTAAAGCCATAAGGACCTGGGTTCCAATCCTGAGGAAGGCAAATCTCCTTGCACCTCCTGCAGGGAAGTCTAAAAACTGGGCCAGACCACTGGGCCAGCTAGCCCAGTGGCTAGCTGGCCCAGTGGTCTGGAGTTTTGATACTCTTGATCATGGGTTCTATCCCCACCCATGGTATGGTTTGTTTGCAGTCGTGTCATTACAATTTCGTGAGTCAGTAACACTACTTGCCTTTTATGAGTTATCCTTGGTTACCAACCCTTCTGGGGATCAAAAGCCTGAATGAAGTCTTCTTTATTTTCAGTGATACGTCTAGCAATTTGCAAAAGAAACTTGTAAGAGAAATGGTTCAGCAAATGGGATGGCTTTCACCTGACTACCTCCCATCAGATTTTATTGCAGAGTGAAAGTCAGTTTAACCCTTTGACTGTCGCAACCCCAATCCTGAGGTGTCTCCTGGTTGTCGCAAAATTTAAAAAAAAAAAAATTATTTTTCTTATGAAATGGTAAAAGAATCTTTTTCCCCATTGTAAAGACACCAAAAAAACGAAATTTGTGGAAAACTGACGGAATTATGCTCTCGCGAAGTTAGCGACCCGGCGCTGTTTACAAATCGGCGATTTCGCCCCACTTTGAGCCCTATTTTCGGCTAATTCATTGTTCCCGTCGCCCAAATCATAGCTATTTCTTTTTGAACTCATTTTTTCTATCGATTGAGTACAAAAACTGCCATTTACCGATTTCAACTACCTAATAAAGTGGTCAGGGAAAATTTTCAATTTGGCCAATTTCACGAAAACTAAAAAATATGACAATTTCAAAAAAAGATCCAGAATAAACAATGCAGACATTCCCGGCTCTAGAATAACATTTTCTTTGTCATCAGTCATGTCTCCAGGCCCCTCTGATATTATCTTGCTTTCTATTTTGAATTTTTATTCAAACAAGAAAATAGAAGACTTACTATTATTTCAGACTACTGCAATACTGTAATAATTGTATAAATAACATCAACCCATTCATGACTGCATATTAGAATGGCTAGTTGGACATTTATTGGACAATGGCATCATTTGTTTACTTTTAAACATTGGCAAAAATCAAACATTTCCCCAAATTTGAGCTCCATTTATAGGTTCTTTTTATAGAAAAATCAATCAAAATCACCTCATTTCTATAATATGTTTTCCATTTATGAAATGAGACCAAGAAAACG